CAATTTGGGTTATCAACAATGTAACGTCCCCAAAATACCGAGTAAAAATTTCATTCATTTTTTTAATAAGTTAAAGCTATTCATTCATTGTTGCAAAAGACGATCAAAGTCAAAATATTCTCAAAACATTAGAGTAATTTGTAAACATTCAGTGCAGAATAAAACTCCAGGGGATGCAGTGTGATCAAGTCGGACCCTTCCTTTTGAAAACGAAGTACCTGAAACCACAAACATAAACCATAAGCACAAAGCTTAGTGAGTTTCCCCAAAATGCCACATATAATACACATATACATATAACAGCACATGGCTGTGTCAGGTCTGTATCAACCCCATATGACAGCATGTAGCTGTTTCGGGTCCGTATCAACCCATATGACAACAAGTAGCTGTGTCGGGTTCGTATCAACCCCCACGTCCGTATCAACCCCGAGTCCATAATGACTATATATAATAACACATAGTTGTGTCTGGTCCGTATCAACCCCACATACATAAAACATACAACCATATCAACAAGAGTCACAAAGACAACAGGCACATACAAGCATATCAGTAAGTGTCACAAAGACCATCACTATCCTACAACATAATCCAGCGGGCTGGCATTGGTGCCTTCGACCCACAAGCACAGTGAGAAGACTCACCTCAATCCAAGATAACCGAAACACAAACGCGCTGCTGCCACTGGGTTCCTCACACTAAACACATCCAAATTATCCTTAATTAACAGTTAGGTCAATTTACCATAACTCAAGGTCCAATTCATATATCCTCATAACAATGTATAAAAACACTATTTTACCCTTCCTATACTTAGACCAACAAAGCAAGGCCCAAACCCAAAATGACTCAAGGACCAAAAATGGCCCAAAAGCCATTCAGGTGTGTACGCCCAACGTACCAACCTGGTACGCCCATCGTACGACACTGAAGCCCAAAATCATCTCCAAACCTCTTAATGCCTTAAGAGAACATGCATAACTTCCAGATGTGATTCTTATGGGACGTCCCAAGTCATAAAGTTCATGACTTTATGACTTTTCATGGCTTAATGACGCCCAAACCAAAGCCCTAAATCTCTAACTTCAACAAAAGACCACCAACTCATGCATGGAAGGAACAGAAGGACCAAGATCACCTTTTATTGGTTCCTAATAACTCCATAATGGATAAAGTTTCTAACTTTATCCATTAGAATGGTCCAAACAACCAAAATCTAGTCTCTCAGTCTCAAATGGACCAAAAGTGCATCATTTTCAACTTAATCCATTAAGTCCAAGTCTCCAACCTTCAAATCTGAATCAATATGATGTTTAGATGGATAAAGTTTCCAACTTTATCCATTAAAATGTCACAAACTTTCAGGATCTAAACTTTATGCACTAAAGTGACAAAAAGCTCATAACACCAAGAGTAGCTAGATCTATCAAATACATCATCAATATTCAAACTTTATACCTATAGAAGAAAGATCAAGGTGAACAAAGTCTGGATCTACAAGCTCCAATGCAACCAAAACATCTCCAATGAGCTCCTTCTTCTCAAAGATGCACCAAGAACACTCTAAAGCACTTAAAAACACCTTCTTTTTGCTCACAAGGCTCAAACTATGGTTAGGGTTTCAAGGGAGGATGTTGGAGAGGTGGAGGCTGAGAATGGAATGGGTTTGGGGAAGTTAAGGAGCTTAAATAGGGTTCAAACCATGAAAATAGGGTTTGGGCACTGATTGTGTACGCCCAATGTACTCCAGGTACACCCATCGTACTCCATGAATGTCTAGTACACCCATCATTGTAACGCCCAGATCCCTGGTATGCATTAAATATTTATTTATTCATTTTATGAGAAGGAATCGACGAGTTGGTGGCCCTAACTCGTCGAGTAGAGGTCAGATTATGCGCGGGGTTTAAGTTGTCTACTCGACGAGTCGAGAGCCCTCGACTCGGCGAGTAGATCGGCCAGAAAGAAACCCTAATTTCGGGGTTTTGCACCCTATTTAAGCATCTTAATCCCCACCCCTTAGCCTCATTTCCAGCCTCCAAGTCCCAAACCCTAATCCACGAAACCCTAGAGCATTTTGTGAGTGTGTGAGCATTTTGTGAGTGATTTTGTGTGCTCTTGAAGCTAGAAGAAGAAGAAGGAGCTAGAAGGTTCAAGGAGAAGATAGTAGATCCAAAGATTTCGTCCCATCCTCATAATTTTATGGTAATCAAGCCTCAAACTTGTCTTGTAGTTTCTTAGATCTCCTTATGGTCACTTTTATGGAGTTTTTGTCCAAGAAGCTTGATTTATGAGACTTGGACGTCCCAAGTCGATGTTACTTTCAGATCTGGAACCATTAAGGGTTGTTATGGCATAAAGGTGCAAACTTTATGCCTTTGGAGCCCCATGCAAGCCTTTAGGATGATATTATGGCCTTTTATGCCCCAAAAGGCCATGCATGTGGAAAAAGGTTGAAACTTTACGTGTTCAAGTAGTGTTAGGAAAGTAAATCTGAAGTTGTAAGCCTTAGTTTGGTGAATGGATGGCTTAAGGACCAAGTTCTAGGTCCCAAGGAATTAGGGTTTGAGCTAAACCCTTTAAGAAGGGGTATTAAGGGGTAAAGCCATAAACTTTACCCTTAAAAGGACATTTTCAGGGTTATTGTGAAGTATGAAGCTTGGATATGAAGTGTAGGGGCTTAATCCTTTAAGATAGCCCAAACAGACAGGGGAACTCGGCGAGTCCAGAAAGGGACTCGACGAGTTGAAGTCGGGTGTCCCGATTTTATGACAGGTAGAACTCGACGAGTCTGGGAAGGGACTCGACGAGTTGACTCGGTTGACCACGAGTCTGAGTTGTACAGGAACTCGCCGAGTTGGGAGATAACTCGACGAGTTGGGTTGACTGGGAGTTGACCTTGACTTTGACTTTACAAGCCAAAAGTGTGCCAAGAATTTATTGTCCGCATCATAGGTTATGGATTTGGTCACCTCGTGTAGACAGGCAACCTCCTGAAAGAATAGTTTGGCCACATGGACAACATTAGATGTCTTCTTGTAGGGTATGAAATGGGTCATCTCTGAGAACTAGCCTACAACCACGAACACTTAATCTACCCCTCTTTGGGTCCGAGGAAGGCCCAAAATAAAGTCCGTAGAAATATCCTCCCATGGTCCAGAAGGAATTGGTAGGGGCATATAAATGCATGTGTTTTGAGCCTTTCCTTTTCCCTCTTGGCACACCATACATCGTTGGACAAAGCTTCCCACATCTCGTTTCAATTGTAGCCAAAAGTACCTCTCTTCCACTACATAAATTGTCTTATCTCTTCCAAGATGTCCTCCTAATCTGCATGCATGTAAGTCTTTGATTACTTTGTCTATGAGGGAAGTTCTAGGAAGAAACAAACGATTTCCTTTGAACAAATATCATTATAGAATTAGAAAGTCCCCCCACGTGTCACTTTGTTTTGATTTCCTCCCATATCACTTTAAAACCGTCATTAATTTTATACAACTCCTTTAGTGTTTCAAAACCAATTGCTTCGTTGATGATGGTGACAAGAAGGGTTGTTCTTCTACTAAGTGTGTCTGTTACTATGTTGGAAGCTCTAGATTTGTGCTTAATGACGTAATTGGATTTTTTTCGTCGATATATCGCACGCCTCAAAATTCCTTATGGATCAAAAGTTATGTCCGCTTTAAGTTAGACCTCTTTTGGCCCCGTTTGTCTTTCTCCCACTTGTCCATAAACGTTTCTGCCAGATCATCTATGTGCTCCGCATCACATCCATACATACTCTTCGCTACATCAATAACAATCCAAATCAAGGTTTGTTGTTCAACAATGAAAATAATTTCAATCTTTAAGATTTTGTGATTTTAACCGAGCATCTGGTAAACAATCAAAAAGAAGCATTAAAGGTTTCTTTGTTCTATTAAGAGGAAGTCCCATTTCATGGAAATCTAATAAACAAATCACAATTTCTCTATCTTCTATTGAGATCGAGTATTGAAATATGGTTATCACTAATTTTACATGAAATATATGTTCCTAATATCACTCCTAGTCCTATTCAATGTGATAGTCAAGCAACAATCTACGCCACTAAAAATCATGTTTTTTCATCAACGCACTAAGCACGTGGAGTTGTACTAACATATTATTCGTGAAAAATTACAAGAATGTTATAATATATTCCAATTTAATCTCAATTAGCAGATTTGTTAACTAAAAATCTTCCAAGCATACAACATTATCATATGTTAAGCATAAGCAAAGTGGGAGTTGCTCACTCTCCAACTTGGGAGGATGTTAGTATTTATGTTGTCACATCAGATTTGTCATGTCATCTAATTTATTTGAGGTAGTTTTGTTTGTTAGCTTATTTTGAGTTATTATGTTTTCGTTTGTCTGTGTATATAAAGTTGAGACTACTTGTGTATCATTTTATTTCATTCACTATACAACAATATTGAGCTCTATCTTTCTCTTGATTTCTTCTTTGAATCTTCAATTCAAGTCAAATTAAGACTACAAAAATATTAACAATGGTCAATTGTGAGTATCGGATAAACAATGAATCTAAAATGGTAATTTTTTTTACAGGTTGGATCAAATTAAATTGTATAAAGTTTATTCTCTTAGTAAATAATTAATGTAATACGATTAAAAATATATATTATATAATAAAATATTATCTCTTAAATAAACAATTTAGTAGATTATGTACTTTAGCAAATATTTTACTTTACCTAATTCGGTCGTCGCATGTACAAATCACCAATATCAATTCATCCTAACTAAATTGATGGAAAACTCACCTTTATATGTATGATACTGATTTTAGTTTAAATTTATCTTTCTCATAAAAAGCAATTTATACATTACAAAATAACATTTATTTATTTTTTATTTTAAAATTTGATACTTAAGAAATTGCGTTGTATTTGATGAAATTACATGCCGATTTTTCCATAAACCATAAAAGCCGCATTTTCCATTTTCACTCCCATTCAACTATTCAAGTCTCACCTTCTGACTCCTGACACCAACGCCCAAACAGACGGAGACCCACGACCAACGGCCACCGGACACCGGATCTCCGTTCAAGCAACCTCCATTAAGGTGCTATTCGCTCTCTCAACACTCTTTTCTTTTTCAAATTTATCTCTACATTTCAGGAACTCACAAAATCATTGTTCGTTCAGTGACTTTTACAAAAATAGGGTTCGTGTTTAATCTGAGCCAAATTTGTTGGGATTTGTGTCGATTCTTCTTCGATTTTCGAGTGCAGTCAAGAGGTTAGGGTTTGTGGACGTAATAGTAGTGATCCAAGGAATTTAGAATGACATATTGGAGTAGAGGAATATGATCGTGTTGCAAAGATACTTTGTTGAATTAAGTTAGTTAAGTGATCGCTGTCTCTTGGGCTAGATCTAAAGTACTGGAATGTGTTGGTTGTTACATGCTATTCCCTTGTTCCAGGGAAAGGAACTATCAAGCTTTGGGATCTAGGGGATTGCTTTGAACTTCAAAATAAATGTGCAATTTAAATGTTCCTAGAAATAATTGGTAACTCATTGGATTTTGTAATAAGCACAGCAAGTAGAAAGTTATTGCATCTAAACTCATCACAAGTTCATGTCAATTTTGCATATTTTTGTGGGGAAGAAAAAGAAACTGGCTGAAAATCTAACTAAATTATTGTAGCAGTAATGTATATATCTCTGGCACATCTGTTTGGTATGTTATCCAGGATTAACAAAGGACATTAAGAAGAAAACATATAATTAAAATAAGAAGGGTGTTCCATTGGCATAGTAGGAATTAGGTAGCAAGTGCCAAGTAGCAACTTTATAGACTGAAAAGCACTGAAACAGCAAAGTGACCTGAGTGATTAATAAAGCAAGTAGCTACATATGTTAAGACTTACACACACATTCCTTTCGCTACTCAAAGTTCATTTATGCATCCTAATGATTTTCATTGATCTGAAATTGATACCTTCCTTGGATTATGTTGTAAACAATTAATGCAGTTACATCATATTCTATGATATAGGTTTATTTCTTTTTTAAAGGGGAATTAACATTATATCACCTAAATTGTGATGTGAATATGTGATCTCATCTGATTACCTGATATCAATATAGATAGCAAGATTCAGTTTTGGAAGGAAGTGATTTCAAGTAGCTCAATCCCTTTTTAGAGCAAATTTGCAATATCAGGTCCTTGCAGTTAAAATAAAACCCTTACAACTTGTAACATATTCTATTATTGAAGTTTATCCAAGGATCCAAGCCTTTTTTGATCTAGTTGTTTGCATGTTTGTAAGTCTTGATACAATATTTTACATATTTGACACTTGAACTCTTGGCACTACTTGTAACATAACAAGATTGCAAACTACAACTCAACCCATTAGTAAAAGTATACTAAAACTGATTACAACATGGGAAAAAGAACAGCTTGTTGGTATGAGTTATATTAAGAGGTCAACAGTTAAGCTAGTGAAGTCCAAATCCTTCACCATAGAATTATCTTGTCATATAAGTGGCCCTGTTTCTTTTTCTTTCTCCCATTAAGTGCTTTCTGGAGGACATATTATTTGGATAAATGATGTTTAACAAATCTTTGGAAAATGACAACAAACTTGGGAAACTTGAAGGAAAAAATAAATGTGGGCAAATTTTGTAAAAAGCTAGGACCTAGTGGGGAATGCCTCATCTCCCTAATTTTTTCTATCAAGTCATTCTTTTTGCATTAAAGTAAAAAAGAAATAACCATTTATATATATCTTACTGGATTAAGTCCATTAAGTAAAAAAGAAACAAAATCAAAGTGTGAAGCTTCTCTCACAATGGATCTTCTTGTATTTAAACAATCATATCTGAGATGTTCTTCTTATGTTGGCCCGAGAGTCATTTTCTTCATCAATTATCTCATGCCAATGAAGTAAGGGTCTGTTTGTATTTTTTTTTTCTCGCCATTAAGTCTTGTATGGATAATTATGGATAAAGTGGTTGAATATGTAATGATGTCTGTATGGATAAAGTGTTATGCATATATACCATTCCTTTTTTGTACTGAATGAACTGTCTGAATCTGAGTAAATGACCATTTCACCCTTTTGTTTAGAACTGATGGTTAACAACAAATGACCTTTTCTTTAAGAACTGTTAGAAATCACTGTTTAAGTTCTACAAAAAATAATACAAATGTAATATATATCTACTCACAATATGATTGCTGATTAGTAACTTTAAGTGGAGACAATATTTAATTTAGTAGTCCACCAAGTACAAAATTATTACTTGCTCATCCCCTTTAGTTTATAAATCTCAACTCAACATGTAACAAGCAAAATTGCTAGTTATTATTTTCTTTTCTTCCCTTACTTTTCCAGTCCCATGAAAGCTACAATGGTTGTCTTTAACTACACAAGTGTTGAATCATTTCCCAAATCCCGAAAATACCCTTTACCATACCAAAAGAGGAATAGAAACTGATACTTGAATCAAACTTTACAGGTTTTGAAGGTTGGGATTCCATATCTCTGTACAAAGACAACTCCAATTCCAATTCCAATTCCAATTCCAATTCCAATTCCAAAATGGGGAGATTAAAACTACAACCCGGGATCAAATCTATCGAAGAAGAACCCGAAGAATTCGAATCCACAATCTCAGAAAAAGACAAAGCAGCTTTAGGATGCATGATCAACACAGAAATAGGCGCTGTTTTAGCAGTGATGAGAAGAAACGTAAGATGGGGAGGCAGATACATGTCAGGAGATGACCAATTAGAACACTCCCTCATCCAATCTCTCAAATCCCTCCGCAGACAAATCTTCTCATATCAACACGCATGGCACACAGTCAACCCCACAGTCTACCTCCAACCCTTTCTTGATGTAATCCGCTCAGACGAAACCGGAGCTCCAATCACAGGTGTCGCCTTGTCATCACTCTACAAGATCCTCACACTCGATGTTCTTGATCTCAACACTGTGAATGTTGAAGATGCCATGCATTTGGTGGTTGATGCTGTGACTAGTTGTAGGTTTGAGGTCACTGATCCGGCTTCTGAAGAGGTTGTGCTTATGAAGATTTTGCAGGTTTTGCTTGCGTGTATGAAGAGTAAAGCTTCGGTTATGTTGAGTAATCAACATGTTTGTACTATTGTCAACACGTGTTTTCGTGTTGTGCATCAAGCGGGGTCCAAAGGGGAGTTGTTGCAGAGAATGGCGCGTTACACTATGCATGAACTTGTGAGGTGTATCTTTTCACATCTTCCGGATGTTGGGAATTCGGAAAACGCGTATTTTAATGGAAACAACATTGATAAACAAGAGGTATGCATTTGCATTTGTCTGCTTTACTACTTCTCCTTTTTCCTCTATGATTTTGTATCGGGTAGTGTTTTGTATGATGGAATTGGCCAAGGAATGGAATGGAGTTGACCAGTGATCCCTTCTGTTTCGGCATAGAATGGAATGAAAATTGCAATATAATCCAATTTTTATATATGTTAACTTTAATGACAAACATTCTTTAAAAAGTTCTATTTTTTGATAATTTTAAATTCCAATTTTTTTTTAAATAAATAACTAATAAGTATTATGCTTATTATAATACCTTTTTGGTTATAATGAGCTTTTATCATGTTTAATCTTTTGTTTTTGTAAGTAAAAGTTTATAATTAAAATAAGGGCTAATTACAAAATAACCAAAAATGGATAAGTAATATCACCAAATGATCAACTTTTCAACCTTTATCACAAAATGGCTACATATCTTGCAAAATACCTTCTTTTGTGAAATTGTTTTTTATTCTTTTTTGTGAAAATAATTCCATTTTCATTATTTTTTAGTTGGGACCACTGATAAAGCAATTTGCAAAAAAGTTTTCTTGTGAAATAGGCTGTTATTTTGTGATACTATTGTGATAAGCTCTTAAAATAATGTCTTGACTCTTGAGTATAATTGAAATTACACCTTGTACTTACCCATAATATACATAATTCATATAAAAGTTCTTTCCATTCTCAGACCCCAACTAAACATGATCATAGAATGTAACAACTCATTCCATTCCGATTCCATCCAACCAAATAGTTTCTGAAAACTGATTACAAGTGCAGGTGAGTGGGATTCCTGCTGATTACACTTTCGGGGCCAAACAAATGGAAAACGGTAATTCCAATTCCAATTCCGAACTTGACTCTCATTCATCTGTTCCCGGAATGGATGAAAACATAGTGGTTCCCGGAAACGGAAAAGACACAGTTCCATACGATCTAAACCTAATGACAGAGCCATACGGGGTCCCATGCATGGTGGAAATCTTCCATTTCTTATGTTCATTACTAAACGTAGTCGAACACATGGCAATCGGTCCACGCGCCAACACAATCTCATTCGATGAAGACGTCCCTCTTTTCGCCTTATCTTTAATCAACTCCGCCATCGAACTTGGCGGCAACGCCATCAGCCGCCACCCCCGCCTCCTCTCCTTAATCCAAGACGAACTCTTCCGCAACCTAATGCAATTCGGCCTCTCAACAAGCCCTCTAATCCTCTCCATGATTTGCAGCATTGTCTTAAACCTATACCACCATTTAAGAACCGAGTTGAAGCTCCAACTTGAAGCATTCTTTTCGTGTGTGATTCTTCGACTCGCACAGAGTAAATACGGAGCTTCTTATCAACAACAAGAGGTAGCCATGGAGGCTCTTGTTGACTTTTGTAGACTGAAATCTTTCATGGTGGAAATGTATGCGAATCTAGACTGTGATATAACATGCAGTAATATCTTTGAAGATCTTGCGAGTTTGTTGTCTAAATCAGCATTCCCGGTGAATTGCCCGTTATCTGCTATGCATATCCTCGCGTTAGACGGTTTAATCGCGGTCATCCAAGGAATGGCGGAGAGGATAAGTAATGCCCCGGTAAATTACGAATTTACCCCTGTTTGTCTCGAAGAGTATACGCCCTTTTGGATGGTGAAATGTGAGAACTATAATGATCCGGAACATTGGGTCCCGTTTGTTAGAAGGAGAAAATATATAAAAAAGAGGTTAATGATTGGAGCGGATCATTTCAACCGGGACCCGAAAAAAGGGTTGGAGTTTCTTCAAGGGACACATTTGTTACCCGACAAACTGGACCCACAAAGTGTGGCGTGTTTTTTTAGATATACAGCGGGTTTGGATAAGAATCTTGTTGGGGACTTTTTGGGGAATCATGATGAGTTTTGTGTTCAGGTTCTTCATGAGTTTGCGGGTACTTTTGATTTTCAAGATATGAATCTTGACACCGCGTTAAGATTGTTTCTAGAAACATTTAGGCTTCCGGGAGAATCTCAAAAGATCCAGAGAGTTCTAGAAGCGTTTTCCGAGAGATATTACGAGCAGTCGCCCCTGATTCTTGCTAACAAAGATGCTGCTCTTTTGTTGTCGTATTCTTTGATCATGTTGAATACAGATCAACATAACGTTCAAGTTAAGAAAAAGATGACTGAAGATGATTTCATAAAAAATAATCGTCACATTAATGGTGGAAACGATCTCCCACGAGACTTTTTATGCGAGCTTTACGATTCAATTTGTAAAAACGAGATACGAACGATTCCGGATCAAAGTGCGGCTTTTCCTGAAATGAATCCTAGCCGTTGGATCGATCTGATGCATAAATCAAAGAAAACCGCACCTTTCATTTTGTCTGATTCGAGGAGCCATCTGGATCGGGACATGTTTGCGGTTATGTCGGGGCCCACAATTGCTGCCATCTCTGTGGTGTTTGATCATGCTGAGGTGGAAGATGTGTTTCAGACGTGTATTGATGGGTTTTTGGCTGTTGCTAAAATATCAGCGTGTCATCATTTAGAAGATGTTTTGGATGATTTGGTTGTTTCTTTGTGCAAGTTTACTACTCTTTTGAACCCTTCGTCCGCTGAAGAACCGGTTTTAGCATTTGGTGATGATGCGAAAGCTAGGATGGCAACTATAACAGTTTTCACCATCGCCAACAGGTAAGAATGAGGGTGTGTTTTCATTTGGTTTGTCGATTTCCTTATATCTTGCTAATATGTAATTATTTTACTATAAATAGGTATGGAGACTTCATACGGGCGGGATGGAGGAACATCCTGGATTGCATATTAAAACTCCACAAACTCGGGCTTCTCCCAGCCCGAGTCGCGAGCGATGCAGCGGATGACTCGGAACTCTCATCCGAACCGGGCCACGGAAAGCCCTTAACAAACTCGTTATCCTCATCCCACATGCCATCAATCGGGACCCCAAGGCGCTCATCCGGGCTTATGGGCCGCTTCAGTCAACTTCTCTCACTCGACACAGAAGAACCCCGTCTCCAACCCACCGAACAACAACTCGCAGCCCATCAACGCACCCTCCAAACAATCCAAAAATGTCACATCGATAGCATCTTCACCGAAAGCAAATTCCTCCAATCCGATTCCTTACTCCACCTCGCACGCGCCCTCATTTGGGCCGCCGGCCGCCCCCAAAAGGGCAACAACTCCCCCGAAGACGAAGACACCGCCGTCTTCTGCCTCGAGCTCCTCATCGCCATCACGCTAAACAACAGGGACAGAATCGTAATTTTATGGCAGTGGGTTTACGAACATATCGCCGGTATCGTCCAAACAACCGTCATGCCGTGCGCGTTAGTCGAAAAAGCCGTTTTTGGGCTCTTGAGAATTTGTCAACGGCTTTTGCCTTATAAGGAGAATTTAGCCGATGATTTGTTGCGTTCGCTTCAACTTGTTTTGAAACTCGACGCACGTGTGGCGGATGCGTATTGCGAGCAGATAACGCAGGAGGTGAGTCGGTTGGTGAAGGCGAATGCGAATCATATCCGGTCGCAAATGGGGTGGAGGACGATTACGTCATTACTCTCGATAACCGCGCGTCATCCGGAAGCTTCCGAGGTCGGATTCGACGCGCTTCTTTTTATAATGTCCGACGGGGTGAACCTCATCCCGGCGAATTTCATAACGTGCGTCGACGCGGCTCGGCAGTTTGCCGAGTCGCGCGTCGCACACGCGGACCGGTCGGTCCGCGCGTTAGACCTCATGTCTGGGTCGATCGCGTGTCTGACCCAATGGGCCCACGAGGCCCAAGAAGCAATGGGGGAGACGGATTCGGCGAAAACGTGTCAAGATATCGGTGATATGTGGTTGAGACTCGTGCAAAGTTTGAGGAAAGTTTGTTTGGATCAAAGGGAGGAAGTGAGGAACCATGCGTTGACCGCTTTAGAAATGTGTTTGACCGGGGTTGACCGGGTCAACATCCAACCCGGGGTTTGGTTACAGTGTTTTGACATGGTGATTTTCACGGTGCTGGATGATCTATTGGAAATATCTCAAGGGCATTCGCAGAAAGACTTTAGGAACATGGAGGGAACCCTAGTTTTGGGTTTGAAGCTTCTTTCGAAAGTGTTTTTACAAATGCTTCCGGAACTTTCACAGGTGACGACTTTTTGTAAACTTTGGTTGGGTGTTCTTAGTCGGATGGAAAAATATTTAAAAGTTAAAGTGAGAGGTAAAAAAAACGAAAAGCTTCAAGAATTAGTCCCTGAGCTTTTGAAGAACACTTTGATTGTTATGAAGAACAAAGGGGTGTTGGCACAAAGAAGCGCGCTAGGTGGCGATAGCTTATGGGAGCTGACGTGGCTTCATGTCAATAATATTGCGCCGTTGATTCAATCGCAAGTTTTCCCGGATGAAAATGGAACTGGGACGGAAGAAAGTGGATGATATGTTACGTGTCAGTTCAGGACCACAGTTTGAGTTTTGGACTGTTTTGTCTGTAGTAGTGTAAATTTTGTTAGGTTTAGTGGGATGTTGATTGATGTTTGGAAATGGGTGAAGGTCGGGAAGGAGATTGAGGTTTGGAGTGATGGTGTTTATGTCGGCGGTTAATTGTGATAAATGACGGCAGTAAAAACTGGAATTTTACAATGTAAAGAATGTGTTTTACAACGTGATTCGTGAATGAATGTGGGATGTTTGTTACTTGTTAGTGCAGTTATTGCTTACTAATTTGTGTAAACTATATATAATTATATGTGTAATGCATTGTATTTTTCACTAGGAGAATAATGTTTTTTTTTCTTCTTTTGGGTATGTTTATCCTTTCGTGATTATTATTTTATTAGTTTATGTGAAGAAAATCATAAGTACAAATGTTAAGCTTCAAGATTTCATTAGGTCATGGTGCAAGAGTATTTTTTTTTCCAATAATTAAATGAGATAATGACTTAAAAAGGTAATATATTTTTCGATTTGTATACATTTTGTTATTGAGTTTTTTTTTCGTCCACATTTACCCCCTTCAACTTGTTAAACTGTATATGTTCAGTCCTTATGACCGGCTACTCTAGGTTACCCGGTAAAAATGACTTAATAGGGTAATATATTTCTCACTTTGTACACATTTAGTCCTTAATATTTTTTGTACACATTTAGTCTTTTTTTTTTTTTTTACAAAATAAGTCCTTTTTTTTACTCATTCAGTACTTATGAATGATTTTTTAATTTTTTCTCACGAAATCTTACGTGGGACATTCATTAATGAGGTATATGGGGCTTTTGATGCTTATATCCATCGCGATCTCGATTACTTGGTTGCTTAGGTCATGTGTTCTGAACGTCATAACTTCTTCATATGATCTCGGATTTTAACGATCTTTATATCCATGCGTTCGTATTTCAATCTACTACAACTTTCATTTAGATTACTCCCATTAAAAAATAATATATTTTTACTTACGATTTTTATATCCATACGCGGTGACGGATTTAGTATGGTCCCGGTGTTGCACCGACAACACTTGTTTTTTCTGTTCGCAGTGGAAAATTTTTTGCTTTTTTTTTTTTACGTTTATACCTATTTTCCATGTATCGGCAACACCTATTTCATCTCGGCAACACCTACTATGTATTATTGCGTCTTCCCTTGTCCATACGTTTTTTATGAATGCATGTATGTATGTTTTTTTTTTATAAAATCGTTAGTAAAAATATATTACATTTTAACGGGAGTAATCTTAATGAAAGTTGTAGTAGACTCAAAAAATGAACACGTGGATAAAGATCCTTAAAATCTGATATCGTATGAAGAAGTTACGATGTTCAAAATACAAGACCTAAGCCAAACCACAAGACTTACACAACCAAGCAGTCGAGATCGCGTTAGACATAAGCATCAACAACCCAAGCACCTCATCAATGATTGTCTCACGTAAGATGTCGTGAAAAAAAACTAAAGAAATCATTCATAAGTACTGAATGAGTACAAAAAAGGACTTATTTTGAAACAAAAAAATGTTAAGGATTAAATATGTACAAAAATATTAAGGACTAAATGTGTACAAAATGAAAAATATATTACCCTATCAAGTTATTTTTCCCGGCTAACCTGGAGTAACAGGTCATAAGGACTGAATGTATACAGTTTAACAAGTTTAAGGGGTAAATGTGGACGAAAAAAAAACTCAGTAACCAAATGTGTACAAATCGAATAATATCTTACTCTTTTAAGTCATTATCCCTAATTAAATAGAAAATGTTATATTTATTGTCCATTAATCAAGATGCTTTTAACTAGTTTTAAGATGTTGGATGTCTTTATCAATGGCATGAATTATTTGTAGTTTTTTTGGAACTTCAGTCTTGTTTTTTGTTGGTATTTGAACTTTAAACTAAGTGCTGCTATAATCAATCATTAAATTATGGTATTTGTATGATTTGTTTATATTACTATGCTAATAGGTTTCAATTATTTGGTTTTATGAGATCTTTCTTTTTAATCCTGCACGCAGTACACATTCATATTTAATAAACTACAACCAATCACATTTTTATATTATGATGTAATGTAATTTAATAATTCAAATATTATAATAAGAGTAGATTAAAGTTTTGGTCCCTGTAGTACAAGCCAATCTGCACGTTTGGTCCTAGTTTTAGAAAATTTGATACTGTAGTAGTTTGCTCTTATAGTAATCATGTGACCTTATACTCAAAAAAATAATATACATATCAAAATAAGCTCTACTTAATATTTAAACTAATATACCCGAACTCGTAAATATTCATCACCAATTAACAATATTAATGCAATATCTGGAAACAACTGTATTTATAACCAACTGTTTCTCATTTACTATACACAGTAAAAGAATTTAAGGATTTGTTTTTTTTGAATTTTGGTAAATTTAAAACCCCGACACGTTACTGATTTGAGCTCCAGCTGTAGCATCTTCTTTCTACTGCACAATCAAGAATTCTTCTGACCAATATACGACTCGTAAACCTTTCGTAAAGACTACTCATTCATCTTCGTCTTGCACGATCTTTGTTCTTTCAACTTTAATCAATCGGCATGTAAGGGAATGAAAGATCTGGATTTAAGTCGAAAATTAGGTTTTCTCGCAATCAAATAGCAAAATGAGTGTTTCTCTGACTGTAATGACCTTCAATCTTCTTGAAGATCAGCCAGACGATAGTTCAAATTGTTGGGAAAAGAGGAAAGATTTGTGTGTTAGTGTTATCACTAGTTACTCTCCAATCATCCTCTGCACTCAACAAGGTGAGCTCGTTCGTTTGTTTATGTATGTTGCAGATCTTTAAAATACCTGTTCTTGATTCGTTCGATTTTAAAATATGATTGATTATGTTGGTCTTGATTGATTTTCGATTTCGAAATGGGGTTTGTTTCTACGAATTTTTTGAAATTGTTTCTTTTTGAATTCGTAGGTGTGAAGTCTCAATTGGAGTATCTTCAACAATGCTTGCCAGGTAATACTTCCAGTTACATTTTGATTACTGTTTTATCTTAATTTCATATTTATACAAATTGTTAAATTCTGCTGTTTTTGCATATAGTTGAAATCAATCCCCATTTATAGCTTAAAATTTTTAATCAAAATCTAATCTCTAATCTTTTAACTATGATTTTTCTAAATTGATTGTGATAGTGTGGTGTTTGCTTAATAGAGAAAGCCAAGAGAAATGACACTTTTTCCATTAAGCCCTAACTTTTTACAAATTTGCCCTCATAAATTGTTGTTAAACATCCAAGGGTATGAGCAATTTGGGATTTCAAGAAAAGGATCCGAAGATGTTTCAGATCAGTATTGCACCATTTTCTATGACAAGGAAAAGGTAATACTTTGTGTACTACTTTCACATAATTGCTTAATATCTCTACTTTTGTTTATAATAATTAAATTTTTTTTCTCTCATATTTTCTTTTATAAAAGGTGGAGTTATTAGAAGGAGGAACATTTTGGTTATCAGAATCCCCTTCTGTTCCTGGAAGCATGTCATGGGGGAGTGAATCTCCTTCCATCGCCACATGGGCAATATCCTTTTCATGCATATAATATAAATATAATAAGTATGGTTAGATCTTGAAAAACATTTTAATAAATGCTTTTTTTTTTTTTACTTCTTTTGTTTCTTTAACAAAAAAATCTCTACACGTTTCAAATGAAAGGAGTAGAGCCCCCTGGTTTTTCATTCCAAATAGTGAACACAAACATGGACGAATTTAGCCCTCGTGCTCGTAGGCGAAGTGCATTGCTGACATGGCAGCATATTGCTTCATTACCTCCTAGCTTGCCAGTTGTATATTGTGGAGGTTTTAATACACAAAAAGAGTCCACCACAGGACGCTTTCTTTTGGGGAGATCAAGGTAATTTTAGGGTCTGTTTGGTTGGATGGAATGGAATGACAAAGGAATGGAATGGAATGGAATGACAAAGGAATGAAATGGGTAGAGTAATGTGATAAATAATGTAATGGAAGAATCTCTACCAATTTAGCAGTGGAAATTGTTTTGTATTTGGATGACATTGTTATAACTGCGTAGATTCTTCAAATTACAATCTTATAATAAAATGAAAATAGATTTAACCCTTCAAATATTTAAGAAAATCCATATTAGCTTTTTAGTTTGACCTTAAAAAAGTCAAAGAACTAACATTTTTCCCTTTGTTTAGAGAACATGGTGTGGTAGGTGATATGAGAGATGCATGGCCTAACGCCCGATTGAGGAAAAATGTGTCTCTTATACGCACGTTTCATGGATTTAAAGGTATCATACATTTTTCTTTATAATTTATAATTTATATCAATCTCAACTGTTTTTTCTAAGGGTGTAAGAACCCCTTTTTCTTTCTTTTTACTATTACGTGAGCAAATGACCATTTTACCCTTCTTTCATCATTAAAGCTAAAAAGAAACAAACACCTAGTCCTATATGCACACATACTGTTTCTTTTTTGGATGGGGATGAACTGTCTGAATGTGAGCAAAATGACCACTTTACCCTTCTGTTCTCGTAAAGTAAAAAGAAACTACACCTAAGTCAACCCAAGGAGTACGTTTGTTTGTGTACGAATAAAGACTTTTGTGTATGGACCGAACGAAGTCTCTGAATGTGAGAAAATGACCATCTTACCCTTCAATCTTTATAAACTTCATATTGTAGGCAACAAACAAGGAGCTGTTGAGTTTTTTAAGTTGATTTTTCGTGCACTTTGCTTGTGTTGGGATCGACAAACTCAAGATTTGCATGTAGATTGGATCCTGTTTAGGGGAAGATCATTGGTGCCTGTTTCATGTGAAGTGGTGAATGATAATATTGATGGTCAATACCCGTCTTCTCATTATCCAATCTTTGCTGAATTCATGCTTCCAAGAACAGTCAGACTCCTGGATCCGCCACCTGTCCAAGATGATGCAACTTCTCCACTTTCTTGATTTTTTTTGTTTGTTTATATTTATTCAACTTATTTGCTTGATTGCTTGGTGTTTCTTTCTTGATACCAAAATTGTTACTCTAATTCTTGGAAATTTTTGTGGGATTTGATTGAAATTTGTGACTCCATTTTTACTTTCTTTCTGTCCTGAAAGTTGATTGATGAACACAAGTTGTAGGATAAAAGTGATTGAGTAATAGTCAGATATCTACAATGCTTGCATTACTAGAGACCTTTGGGTAATGCTTGAATTTCTTAAACAAAAATGTCAATGATGCTCCAACTTCAAGATCAATTTCGCAACGTAAAGTAAGGGGCTTCCAATATTATTGATTTCTATCATTCTTTAAGAATCTAGTCGATGTGGACTCTCCGTGAATGAAGTCGAATGACAACTACTGCCATCTTAATATCTTATCACAACAACGTTGATGTCATCACCAAAACTAAATTGCTCTCATCATTCTTGGAAGCAAAGTATCTGCTTCTTTTGCTTGAAGCACATGAAGAAAATCACAACACTGCTATACCCCTCACCCTCTCCTCCAACTCGACACATTGGTATATCCGGGTTTTGTGTCTTTTTAGGTGACAACCTTATGTTGTGGTCTTCCAAACGCCAACATGTTTTCTCCTGATCCAATGTCGAAGATAAGTTCATGAGATAGCTAATGTGGTTACTGAAGATGCCTAGATTCTTAACCTTCTTCTCAGTTCTCAAGATATCGTGTCCTCTCTATCGTACGATGGTTATTCTTTATTACAATGTTAGTGCCATTTACTTAGCTTCTAATCGGATTCAGCACCAAAGAACCAAACATTTTGAAAAAAAAAAAAAAAATCACATTTTAACGTGTTAGTGATAGGTCATGCATGGTCCTCCGGGTTCACCATTTTGGCATATATGTTTACAAAGGGTCTACTAACTTAAATTTTTTTAGACTCTAGAAACACTTTGAGTATACATGAACCTCCCTCCTCAAACTGAGGACTGTGTTCATTATAGTTATACATTTTATTCATTTTGCAGAGTGGACTCCTTTGTAACTTTGTCTATTATACATGGTGGGCAATACAACATAAAGCCTAACGCGGATTTTCCACTATCCAACAAGAAGCAATAACTCTTTTTAGCCGGTTTGCAACAACTTTGGAGATGATCTTGGCGAGACAGAGACAAATGGACTAATAGTCTTTTTCAAATTGGAATGGTCTCTAACCTTGGGAATAAGTGAAATAAAAGAGGCATTGCAACCTCTAAACAGCCGGTGGCGGAGCCAATACATTACTAGTGGGGTGCATGGACCCCACTTAAATGTGGGTCCCACCAGTTATATACATAAAAAAAAAAAAAAAAATCCAAGTTCTTGGTACCCACTGAAAATTCATCTGCACCCACTTACCTCCCATTTGAAAGCTCAAAAGCTTAGCAGCTTTTTTTTTTTTTTTTTTTTCGGTTCAATCTTCACCAAAATCACCCCTCTTCTTTCATCTTCCTTAAACCTAGCCACTCATTTACCACACTTCTACTGTCGTTGCCAGAGATTGGATGGAATCAGATCGGTCAACAGGCTGGTCAATACTACTCAACAGTCAACGGTCAATAGAACGATCAACGGTCAACAGTGCACCCCACTTGAGTTCGGGGTTGGATCAGCCACTGTGTGTAGACATCTCACTGTTAGCTTGAAAACTCTATCAAACCAAACTATCAAATCGTTAGATATATTAAAGTATCAAACCAAACTATTGCAACCAAATTATGATAAGATAAAATTGTTTTGCATTAAATGACATTAATATAGCTTGATATATCGAAAAAAAATACGATAATTGGAAAATCAATTAATATAAATACTCTAATAGTAAAAAAGTTAAGACAAATACTATGTACACCGTTGAAAAATAAATTTCTAGAAACGACACATGTGAAGTCAAAGCTTTATAGCTTTTCTTTTTGTTGAAAGGAGGGAAGATTTCATATTTGTTTAAAGAGGGATAGATCGAAAGACTCCAAAACCGTCGATCACAACCTGCCACCGGCGCAAAACAAATCCAAAACCGTCGATCACAACCTGCCTCCCAAGAAAAATAATACGTGCCAGTACTAGTAGTTAAATGTCTTCACTCATCTTCGTCATCATGCTGAATCTAGGTTTGCCATCAAAAACGAAATTCTCAGAGAGAATACGTACAGATTTATATACAGAATCATACACATTAAGTCGTGGTTTATATGCATACACAAATATACAGGAGGAGAGAATTGGAGACATTGATTTACGGATTTTAACAACGAGATATAAGATCGTTCGGTTGATTCCATGGCTGATACAACGCATCACTTACGGATCTGCGTTTTTCTTCTTCTGTCAATCCATGGATGCTCCTTCTACCTCCCTGGTGTCGCTCCACAGGATTTTTACAAGGCAAGTAACGTTTTCTCATACCTACATAGATACGCGCCTTCCAGTTTTAAAAAAATTTATTTATTACAGCTGGTGACTGCAATTGATTCTGTTCTTTTCATCGTTAAGGTTTTCATTAATCAGATCTCTCCATTCAAATTAAGTAATAATTTCAGTTATTGAAGAGTAAATCACTCTGATCAGTTCCAATTACTTTCAAGTCAGTGTTTTCACAATGGTATTTTGTTGCTGATCTCGATTTTCATGAGTCACTTGTGTGGTGAAATCACGATCATTCTTTAACACGAATTGTGTGCATTTTGCTTGAATGCTTGATAGCTGAGAAATGGAGATCTTGTTATTATCATTAAGCATCTTAGTTTTTGAATCTATATCGCAGGGGGATATCCTGAAGGTAAAAGTAAACAAACTGTCTTCCACAAAAACTCAACTCCCTTATCTTTACTATTCCATCCCTTATTGTCGTCCCCAACAAATAGTTGATAGTGCAGAGAATTTAGGGGAAATTCTTCGTGGTGATCGCATAGAAAATTCCCCTTATGAGGTAACCAAAACTTCCTCCATATATCATTATGCAATTCATCTTCTTGTTATCTTTATATCTGCAAACCTCTTAGTTCTTACCCAAATTATCCTTTACAGTTCAAAATGCGAGTTCCACGAATGTGCAATATTGTGTGTCACATAATACCAAATGAAAGAACAGCAAGAGAATTCAAGGAAAAAATAGACGATGAGTATCAAGTCAACATGTGAGACTCTTGTTAAATCAGACATATGTTAATCACATTTTGTTAATTTTCAATCATTTTTTTACAGGATTTTGGATAATTTACCTCTGGTTGTTCCCATAACAAACTCAGAACAAGAACAGGACTCTCATGTCCAATATCATCATGGATATTTTGTTGGTCACAAAGTATGGTATGCAGGAGTGAGTAAACAACTGTTTTCTTAGCAACTTGAATAATGAATTCCAACTTCATATCATCATATGTATCATCTCTGACTTGTGGCTTAAAATTTATCATCATGTAGATGAAGGAAGACAAATATTTAATCAACAACCATCTAACATTCACAGTCAAGTTTCACAAAGATCCAGAATTCGAATATGCAAGAATTGTTGGATTTGAAGTTAAACCTTTCAGGTGATATGATATTTATATATAATTCTCATAAAATTTTACTTTTTGGAGGTTAATTATTTATTATCCACACACTTTTTTGTGTTATTTTTTTGTGCAGTGTTAAGCATCAGTATGATGGTGAATGGAGTGATGATACTCGCCTGACAACCTGCGACCCCCATGCCAAAAAATTGGTCGCCGGAGTTGATCCACCACAAGAAATTGAAGACAAAAACGAGATCATCTTCACTTACGATGTTGAATTCCAGGTAAGAACAGAGATTAGAGATATGAACACAAATTTAAGATTTTATTTAAAACGTTAAATTCGATTGATTTCTAGGAGAGTGACGTTAAATGGGCATCAAGATGGGACACATATCTTCTAATGCCCGATGATCAAATCCACTGGTTTTCGATCGTGAATTCCCTCATGATCGTTCTTTTCTTATCGGGAATGGTCGCCATGATCATGTTAAGAACACTTTATCGCGACATCTCTAATTACAACAAACAAGAAGAAGAATCCAAATTCGAACAAGAAACCGGATGGAAGCTCCTCCACGGAGACGTTTTCCGGCCACCTGTAAACTCCGATCTCCTCTGCGTCTATGTCGGAACCGGAGTTCAATTCTCCGGTATGATTCTCGCCGCGATGATCTTCGCTCTCCTCGGGTTCCTCTCACCTTCAAACCGCGGCGGCCTCATGACGGCCCTCCTCCTCCTCTGGGTCCTCATGGCGGTCTTCGGCGGCTACGCCACCACTCGCCTCTACAAATCATTCAAAAAATCAAACTGGAAAACAATCACTCTCAAAACCGGTGTCATGTTCCCGGGAATCATCTTCGTCATGTTCTTCATACTAAACGCCCTAATTTGGGGTGAGAAATCCTCCGGCGCCGTTCCCTTCTCCACGATGTTCGCTTTGGTGTTCTTATGGTTTTGCATCTCCGTGCCACTGGTGTTCGCCGGCGGTTACATCGGTTTCAGAAAACCGGCGATCGAAAATCCGGTGAAAACGAATAAAATCCCCCGGCAAATCCCTGAACAACCCTGGTATATGAGATCCGCTTTTTCGATTCTAATTGGTGGTGTACTTCCATTTGGGGCTGTTTTCATCGAGCTTTTTTTCATTTTGACCTCGATCTGGTTACATCAATTTTATTATATTTTTGGTTTTCTTTTTATTGTTTTGATTATTTTGTTGGTGACGTGTGCTGAGGTGACGATCGTGCTGTGTTATTTCCAGCTGTGTAGTGAAGATTATGAATGGTGGTGGAGGTCGTATCTGACGTCAGGTTCGTCGGGTATTTATCTTTTTATATATTCGATTATGTATTTTTTTACGAAGCTTAATATTACGAAGGGTGTTTCGGGTATTTTGTATTTTGGGTATATGTTGATTGCGTCTTATTGTTTTTTTGTTTTGACGGGTACGATTGGTTTTGTTGCTTGTTTTTGGTTTACAAGAGTTATTTACTCTTCGGTTAAGATTGATTAGTCTTGAGCTTTATGTTGTACTTGTATTATTATTATTTGGACTTATAGAATTATTATTATGAAGCCTTTTTCTTTTCCTTAAAGATCTGAACTGGTAAGAGGCAATGGATCTGATCATGGATGTGTCCATTGAATTTACTCTTTTGTTATACAGTATGTTTTTTTCACGGTGAAGCGGAGACGAATACAATTATACAAACTAGAGTTTAGTACACCTTTTAGGACAAATGTTATATTATTCAAGAATAGACTACTAGTCTAATTAAAATAACTTCCACAAACGTAAGTGATAAATATTACTTATTTCCTTAAAGTATTGGGTATGGACAACTAGATACAACATCAATTTGGTGTCATCTCACATGCCACATAAGCAATGGTGTTATAACACCAAACAAGAAAATTGTTACACCAATATTTTCCATGTCATATTTTTCTTTTTGATTTTTTTTAGAGTTTGCTTTTTTTTTTTCGTGATTCTTTTTTTAATTAATAAAACAAATATATTTTTATAAAAACATAATATAAAAAAAAACAAAAAAAAGACATAATTTTTAAAAACTAAAATTAAGATTACGATAAAAAAAACATTAATTTTGAAAGATAACATTTTTTTCCTGGTCCTAATTAACCCAAATAACATCCAAATTAAACCTAAAACCATAACATTTTACTACTAATCCTAATTAACTCAAATACTTATTTCTAATTTTGATCATTCATCGCTCGTAGCACCGCTAGATCTTGAGGCGACAAACCCTCCTCGCTGGTCCGAAGAATTGACAACTGTTGTGTCATTAGTTTTCTCTCTTTTTGTTTCTGCTTCTCCCGTGCATGCCTTTCTAGGAACTCCAAATGGCGACGTTTCAACTTATTTTTTTCTTTTTGTAATAAATTGTGTTCATCGAATTTCACTTTCATTTCCTCCTCATCTTTTGCTTTCGTCTTAACCTCCTCCGCATGCCTTGCAGCGCGTCTCGCTTTGTCGCGTTTGGGCGGTCGTCGTGGTGGGGAGATCTCCTCAATATCATTCGGGATCTCATCGATGTCGACATTTAGATCAATGTGAGTCTGTGCGTCTGACACGTCGACCGAGCTCGAATTTCGAGACCTCTTGGATTGAACTTCCGACGATGTAGGAGTTTTATTTCACCTTGGATCCACTCGCAGCAACTCCCACGACTTCTCGAACTCGAACACATGTCCCATGTAACACCCAAAAATTTCAAACCAATTTAAACTTTCAAAAACAACCCAAGTTCCATTAGTTATTACAAAAAGGTTTCCAAATAGTTTATTATCAGAGTATCCCAGAAACAGAATCATAAAAAGTGAGGAGCGGTACGATCACGCCTTAGCCTTGCCACGATCTCCTGATGTACCTGAAACAATAATCGATAAATGTAAGCTCTAAGGCTTAGTGAGTTACCCCCAAAATACCCATACACACATAACCATACACATACAGTAACAAACAGCATACTATGGGTCCAATCAACCATCGGGTTGGAATACCCCAGACCCTCAACCATCGGGTTGGAATGCCAACATACTAGGAGTCCAATCATCCTCGGGATGGAATACTCTCGGCCCACAACCATCGGGTTGGAATGCCCACACTTCTACTCATACAATAACTACTATGGGTCCAATAATCCATCAGGATGGAATACCCCAGGCCCTCAACCCTCGGGTTGGAATACCCACCTACTATGAGTCCAATCATCCTATCGGGATGGAATACTCCTGGCCCACAACCATCGGGTTGGAATGCCCACCTACTATGAGTCCAATCATCCTACCGGGATGGAATACTCCTGGCCCACAACCATCGGGTTGGAATGCCCACATACTAACAAACACGTGCACCTATCGGATAACCATATAACAGTCTATAGAGACAAGATACTAGGGCCCTATCATCCTCGGGATGGAATACCCTCCACTACCAATCAACCAAGTGCACATATAACAGGTAATCTCCTACCAGCATACAAACAGTCAGACCAACTACAGGTCACTAAGCATAGCCACATCTAATCTACCAGGATACCGATCTAACCAACAATGCTAACACATAATCATCCTTTCTACCAGAATGCCAACTAACATATCACAACAGTAACTATCTCAAATAACGAATCAAAGGGCCGGCCTTGGTGCCTTAGACCCTTGGGTATAGTGAGGATAACTCACCTTGCAACTGCCGAACCGAACCACGAAAGCACAATCCCGAAGCACTGCCCCAGACTCCAACACCTATAGCCATCAATGATCCATTGACATAAATATTCAAATTACCATAATACATTTGAAGGTCAAACGGGTCAAAGTCAAAGTCCTGGCCAAAGTCAACCTTCTTGATTGACCCTACTCGCCGAGTCAACCCATTGACTCGCCGAGCTCTTAAATTCAGAAAATTCTCATATCACGACTCGACTCGCCGAGTCACCCCATGACTCGTCGAGTCCATCAATCTCTGAGTCCTATCCTGTTCAACTCACTGAGTCACCACTCAACTCACTGATCTGAGTCTTAACCAGAAGAGGTTGGGGGGTTCTGCGCTATGACTAGGGGTGTAAACGAGCCGAGCCGAGCCCGAGCCTGACCAAGCTCGAGCTCGGCTCGTTTAATTTTGAGGAAGCTCGATCTCGAGCTCGAGCTCGATTCGAGCCTTAAAATGAAGCTCGAGATCGGCTCGTGAACAATTTAGTGGGCTCGCGAGCCTAAACGAGCTTAAACGAGCCTCTCTCTCTCTGTATATATATATATATATATATATATATATATATATATATATATATATATATATATATATATATATACACACACACACACACATATATATATATATATATATATATATATATATATATATATATATATATATATATATATATAGGCTCGTTTAAGCTCGTTTAGGCTCGCGAGCCCACTAACTGAAGCTCGGCTCGAGCTCGTTTAATAAACGAGCCTCATATTTAGGCTCGAGCTCGGCTCGGGCTCGTTTAACTCGATCTCGAGTCGAGCTTTTAACGAGTTGATCTCGAGTAGCTCACGAGTAGCTCGGCTCACTTACACCCCTAGCTATGACTCGCCGAGTCCACGGCAATCTTCATCATACTCGCCGAGTTGTTCATCCAACTCGTCGAGTCCATGCCCATCATCATATGACTGGTCGATTCAACCCATGCGACTCGCCGTGTCTCTTCAGTCCTTCATCCATACAGTCACTTTTTGAGCCATGCAGAGGCTCCACACTATAGATCCATCCTTCTAGGGCATGATTCTCACGTAAAGTTGCAAACTTTACGTGAATACAAAGTGATTTTGGCTCAATACAAGCTAGGGTTAAGGTTTAAGACAAGGGTGCTTCACAAACAAGCTAAATGTTGATACTTTATGATTTCCTGGACCAAGGCAAGTCTAGATCTGAAGTTGCAACCCCAGATCTAGACCCATAACCCGAAATGGATCTTAATCGTACTAAAATGGCCCCAAATCCATCCATAAGTTGATCTAGGAAGGAATGGATCAAGGTAACAACTTGTTACCTCAAAAATGTGCCCAAACTGAAGTAGATTCTGGATCTATACGAGTCCCTTGATGCTATACACTTGATCTACAAGCCTCCCTTGCTAGAATCTCCTTCCAAAGCTTCCAAGCTCACTCCAAAGGCTCACACACGATTTTAGGGTTTTCTGACTCTCAAGGGTAACAAGGAGGCTGAGGTGAGGACTTAAGGTCCTTTAAATAGGGTGCAAACCCTAATATTAGGGTTTTATCTTCCCAACACCAACTCGTCGAGTCCAGCCGCCGACTCGGCGAGTTGGTCACTTAACTCGGGACCAGAACCCGCTCCGACTCGACTAGTGATCGCACCTACTCGTCGAGTAGCTTCCTCAATTTACACTTTAAGCCCTTAAATCATTTTTTCTGAAGTTTGGGATGTTACATCCCATGTCGACCCGATGTTGTTCTTTTGCAGATTTGAACAAACCAAAGTCGTTTGCTCCGCTCTGCTGTTGCTCCTGAAGTCTGGTGTAAATACCATTGAATTTTGTGCACCGCTTAGTTATTTGACGTCATTTGTTGTTTAGCATGTCCGTATTGCGATACGGTTTTTTCTTCAACATAGCGTGGAATTTTTCGAGCACCGCCCACCAACACACACCTTTCTTCATACCATTACCATGGAGTTCGTCTTTTTGAAGTAGTACACCATGCTGTCGTCAGACCATATTCCTCCTCCAGTGTCCACCATTGTGGAAGTTCCTCACTTCCCGCTTCAATCGCTATAGCTTTCCCTTTCCCTCTTCCTTTCCCTTTCCCTTTCCCTCTCCTACTACCTCCCGTTTGTGTTTCGACTGATGGTTGTGTTGGAGGTTGTAACACCGAAATTTTAAACAATTTTTCACATTTTCAAAAACATACTTTCATTCATAAATATTATAAAAAATGTCATTGTATCACATATCAATCCATAGAAACACAACCCCAAGATCATAATGTATAAAACTCCTCATGTGTGTACTGATCATGCCGGCGCCTTCCCGCGATCCTCACTGGTACCTGAAACACATAACACAAAACTGTAAGCATAAATGCGTAGTGAGTTCCCCAAAATACCATATATAACACATATTAGCCACTTGAGGCTATAACTCTCTGGGCCCACTGGCCCTAACTCTGTGGACCCTCTGATCCTAACTCTGTGGACCTTCCGGTCCTAACTCTGTAAACTCTGGAATACACACAGCATAAATCACGTCGAAATAATGCAGTGCAACAC